CGGCCAATCACAACGCACTGGATAGCTGGCCAATCACAGCACACCTCGCTTTTCAGACCGATGAGCTTTGTAAAAATCGACGCGTTTCAAAAAGGCGGGGCATAGAGGAGAAACAATAATGTACAGTATGTGGAAAATAATGTGTTTTTTGAACCTTAAACCGCATAAACACATTTCATTACACCAAATACACAAAATAATGTTCTTTTTAGCAACATCATATTACCCCTTTAAATTTCTAGATCGCTTGAAGCGAAATAAAGAGTGATGCCAGATCACATTTTCATTCATTTATTAAAAACTTTCAACGTTGGTTTACAAAAAAAAAAAAAAAAAGCTTATATTAAAATTAAATTAATTAAATTTTCTGGTACAGTAACTACACAAAAAGCATTACAATAAATTTCATTGGCTAGTCTTTTGGATTTACAGTAACTACACAAAAAGCATTACAATAAATTTCATTGGCTAGTTAACAATCTCTTTTGGATTGTTTTTACAAAAACAATAAATTAAATGCATTAACAATTATTACTCTTTATAAACTCTTTAGTCAACTTCCTCCATTCTAGAACTGTCTTCATCACCTTCCAGAACTGGCATATCTTCTTCAGCGGGTTGAGTAATGTCTTCTACGGTAGAGTTATCATCATCAATGCCTGAAAGATTAAATATTAAATATAATTAAGTCATTTTTTTCCAATGAAATTTCATTTAAGACTACACCCTTAAAGCCATAGAAAATAGAAAAACCATTTTTGGGTTCCCAAAGAACCTTTCATTGGACAGTTCTTAAAAGTACCATTTTTTTTATTCGTGTGAAGAAAATTTTAATGTTCTAAAGAAACTTTTTTCCATTAAAAAGAACATTTAGTGCAATGGAAAGGTTCCATGGATGTTAAAGGTCCTTCCTGGAACCATCAAAGCCAATAAAGAACCTTTAATTTTAAGAGTCTAATAGTGGACCATATGTTTTAGTGGATAATTCTTAAAGGGATAGTTCACCCAAAAATGAAAATGTGATGTTTATCTGCTTACCCCCAGGGCATCCAAGATGTAGGTGACTTTGTTTCTTCAGTAGATCACAAACTATTATTTTTAACTTTAACTGTTGCAGTCTATCAGTCGTATAATGCATTGCGTAGTTTACGCAAGCGCCGGAAGTGAGCTCTCGCTCGTATACGTCACTCATTTTTTACACAGTGCACAGTCATTGTAGGTACGACGGCTAATCAAAATGCGAGAGATTACTTCCGGCGCTTGCGTAAACTATGCCAGAGCACGTACACACCTCACGCACCGGATGCCGTGCACACGCCCAAAGACAGTTGGACATAGTGGTGTATTAGAGGTAAAATATGATATAAATACTGTTCGGTTTCTGGCACAAACTGATCGTTTTGTGTCTTAGGACATCAATGTGTCGTCACGAGCCGCAGGGTTTCATTTGGGTTTGTCTGTGCATGTTTTTTTTACTCTCATAGATTTTCTTACCATTGCCATGCATTATAAGACTGACAGACTGCAACGGTTTGAGTTAAAAATCATCATTTGTGTTCTACTGAAGAAACAAAGTCACCTACATATTGGATGCCCTGGGGGTAAGCAGATAAACATCACATTTTCATTTTTGGGTGAACTATCCCTTTAAAAGTACCATTTTTTATTAGTGTGAAGAACATTTTATTGTTCTAAACAACCTTTTTTTCCATTAAAAAGAACATTTAGTGCAATGGAAAGGTTCCATGGATGTTAAAGGTTCTTCAATTAACCATCAAAGCCAATAAAGAACCTTTACATTTAAGAGTCTAATGGTGGACTGAAATGTTTTAGTGGATAATTCTTAAAATAACCATTTTAAATTAGTGTGAAGAACATTTAAATCATCTTAAGAAACTTTTTTTCCACTATGCATTGGAAAAGTTCCACTGATGTTAAAGGATCTAGATGCCAATTATGAATTTTATTATTAAGAGTAGTGGTGGACAGATTTTTTTTGGATGGGCATTACCAATAACCATGAATGCATTAATAATGGTGATATACTCTAGGCTGATGTGTTTAAATGTTTCATATTTGTAGTCATCCAACTTACCAAGACCAAGTTTGATCATCCTGTAGATGCGGTTGGCATGTGTTTGTGGGTCTTCCAGCGTGAATCCAGAGGAGAGCAACGCTGTTTCAAACAGCAGGATCACCAAGTCTTTCACGGCCTTGTCGTTCTTGTCAGTTTCTGCTTTCTCTCTGAGGGTCTCGACGATGGGATGGACGGGGTTGATTTCTAGGTGCTTTTTAGCGGTCATGTAGCCCATGGTGGAGTTGTCCCTCAAGGCCTGAGACTTCATGATCCTCTCCATGTTGGCCGTCCATCCATATGTGCTTGTGACGATGCAGCAAGGCGAAGCCACCAGACGGTTTGAGACGGTGACCTGTTTGGATACACTATCATTTAATGGCTCTGAAGAGTGTGCACTTCAAAATCAAAGCCTAGTATGTTAACGGCGTATACCTTCTCAATCTTTTTGTCGAGAATGTCTTTCATGATCTTGCATAAGTTCTCATATTTGGCTTTCAAATCTTCCTGCTTCTTCTTCTCCTCCTCGTCCTCGGGCAGCTCCAGACCTTCCTTGGTCACTGATACCAGGTTTTTGCCATCGTATTCCTTCAGCTGCTGGACGCAGTACTCATCGATGGGCTCGATCATGTAGATCACCTCCAGACCGGCTTTGCACAGGTGCTCCACGAAAGCAGAGTTGGCCACCTGATCTTTGGTCTCACCTTTAGAGAAGAGCAAGGTTCGTATGAGGCATCTGTGGGTTAAAATAATATTTAAATTCATTAGCCAGCTACTAACCAGTGATGTAGTAGATGTGCTTCTGGCTGTCCTTCATGCGAGACACATAGTCCTTGAGGGACACCATCTCGTCTCCGGAAGCTGATGTGTAATAGCGAAGCAGCTCTGAGAGTTTTTTGCGGTTCTGAGAGTCTTCATGGATGCCCAGCTACAATTGGAAAATACATTTTAGCTCGGAAGTATGATAAATGTGATTTCAATAGCTACTCGGAAAGCACACACACACACCTTGATGTTCTTGGAGAACTGCTCGTAGTATTTCTTGTAGTTGTCTTTGTCCTCGGAGAGCTCGGTGAAGAGCTCCAAACACTTCTTGACCAGGTTCTTGCGGATGACTTTCAGGATCTTGCTCTGCTGAAGCATCTCTCTGGAGATGTTCAGCGGCAGATCCTCCGAGTCCACAACACCCTTAATGAAGTCTGGGATGAAAGTTTAACTCATTAACATTTAAACTCTCTGACATATCCTCCTGAGACCCAGCTATGGAGTTTTTGTCTCTGTAGAGGACATTATATTATAGTGATATTGATTTCATACATGTCCACTGTAGAGGACACCAGGACTAAACACATGTTTATTATGCATTTTGGGAGACACACACAACAAATGAATAGGAAAATAAATTATATAGCAATATTCCTATGCAATATTAGATATTATTATGAAAATCTGGCCAATTATTACACTCCTTTTTTCAACATGCTGTCCCAACAGCACATTAATATGCTAATTAGGTACAGTGTATAGATAACATTGTGTTTAATGGGAAAACCAGTTTATGGAAATTGTACACACATATTGCATAAAGTAATGTTTGTTATATCTTTTATAGTTGAGAATCATCCTTATACAAAGTTTGGTATAAAAAAATCCTGAAACCTAAAAATTGATTGGTGATTTTTTTTTAAAATCCCATTGTTTTTCCCTTTTCATGTTTATTCATGTCATTTTATTTTGAGTCCTGGTGTCCTCTACAGAGGACATAGCATAACATATGAATAAAATATAATTTTTAAAAAATGTTATTTTTCCATTTTTTTCTTGTGCTCTAACCAATGTAAAACTGACACCGCTTTTTTTTCTGGTTCTCAGGAGGATGTCATTTCTAGGAATCGCTGGCAAATGCACTCCTGAGAGACTTACTGAGATATTCTGGAATGAGCTCCTCGCAGTTGTCCATGATGAAGACCCTGCGTACGTATAATTTAATGTTGTTTCTCTTCTTCTTGTTCTCGAAAAGGTCAAAAGAGGCTCTTCTGGGTACAAACAATAGAGCGCGGAACTCCAATTGGCCCTCAACTGAGAAGTGCTGCAAGAAGATGAACATGGGTGGTTTAATCATCTAGTCTTCACCAAGTCCAGCCATTTCTGACTCGATATTCCTACCAACCTTAACAGCCAGGTGATCCTCCCAGTCGTTGCTCAGACTCTTGTAGAACTCGCCGTACTCCTCGTTGGTGATGTCATCAGGGTTACGGGTCCAAATGGGCTTGGTCTTGTTCAGTTCTTGAGCATCGATGTACTTTTCCTTGACCTTCTTCTTCCTCTTGTTCTGACCATCTTTGGTGTCTTCATCTTCATCGGCGCCCAAGTCCTCGATCTTGGGTTTGTCTTTCTCATCGCCGGCCGCCACCTCCTCCTCCTTTTCTCCTTCTTCAAGATCAACCTCTTTCTCTCTCTGTTTCTCAACCTGCAAGATGAGAATTGATGCTTTATTTGTTCAAGTGGAGAGGAACCAAGGTTTGCAGTTCTTGTACCAAAGTACAAGCACTTACGAAGAGCGTAATGGGGTAACCGATGAACTGAGAGTGTTTCTTCACGACTTCCTTGATGCGCTTCTCCTCAACATATTCAGACTGATCTTCTTTAAGGTGGAGAATGGCTTTGGTGCCACGTCCAATGGATGGGCCTGTAATTCCAAAGCAAATGCGTATGTGACCCTGGAGCACAAAAGCAGTCTTAAGTCGCTGGGGTATATTTGTAGCAATAGCCAACAATACATTGTATGGGTCAAAATTATAGATTTTTCTTTTTATGCCAAGAATCATTAGGATATTAAGTAAAGATCATGTTCCATGAAGATATTTTGTAAATCTCCTACCATAAATATATCAAAACTTAATTTTTGATTAGTAATATGCATTGCTAAGAACTTCATTTGGACAACTTTAAAGATGATTTTCTCAATATTTCGATTTTTTTGCACCCTCAGATTCCAGATTTTCAAATAGTTGTATCTCTGTCTTATTCTAACAAACCATACATCAATGGAAAGCTTATTTATTCAGCTTTCAGATGACGTATAAATCTCAATTTCGAAAAATTGACCCTTATGACTGGTTTTGTGGTCACTTATGTCAAGTTCCAGTACTTTTAGACTAAAAAAAGCCCAATGAAACACTTATGAGAGCTCATACCGTAGTCTGGCTTCACTGTGAAGGAACCACCAGCTGCAGACTCCCAGATGTACTGCTCGTCATCGTTGTGTTTGGTGATCACCGTGACTTTCTCGGCCACTAGGTAGGCGGAATAGAAACCCACTCCAAACTGACCGATCATAGAAATGTCCGCTCCAGCCTGAGGAAGATCTCTTTGTTGGAATAGAAGGTGTTGATGATCAGAGACATCAGCTGAGTGATCTCAGCCTGGAAGGCGAAGGTCTCTGCTTCCTCCTCGATCATCGGCCGTGCAGCACTCTCAGGCATCTGCATAAAAGATATATAATCAGGATTATAAATAAGGATTCTGGAATATCAAGTCTTAATATAATTGGAAAATAACAAACGGATGTATTCCATTAGATTTCTGAGCATTGTGTGTCCTGTAATTATTCTTACTGAGCATATATGTTGGAATGACACTGGTTCCTTTAAGAATGAACTTATTCTGTCTACAACAAACTAAATATTTTTTATACTAAAATGTTTTCTGATACAGTCCTCTATTAATGTTTTCTTTACTTTCATCACTACATTCTAAATCACTCAAATTCTTACACAGATCATTCATAATTAGTTAAAGATAAATGTAAAATATTAAATAATACATTTTGATAGTATCATTGAGATACTATCACAGTTTTTAATATTTTGAATTAGATTTCATTTTTATATTTTCTGCTTTCATGTTTATTTTAGTTAAAGGTTTAGTAATTTTGTTGTGTGTTTATATATATATATATATATACCGGTAGTTATTTTAGAACATCAAGTGCTTCAGAAAACTAGCTGAAATAAATAAATTAATTGAAATAAATTGAAATAAAATGTTTTTATTTAATTAAAATGTTTTTTTAATTTTTTATTTAATTTAGTAACAAAATGATTTATTTTAATTTAATTTAATTTAATGGATTTAGTTGAAATTTTAGTTAACTATAATAACCCTCCTCAAAATACAGATATTATATTTATTCTTACTAAACATAAATGTTGGAATGACAACTTAGTGATATTTTAATAATATATATACAAATCTTAATTTATTTTATTCTGTCTGTAATATTCCTCTGAAAGTTCACAAATATTTCATACTATAAATATTCTGTGGCAAAATGCTTTTGTTACTTTCATCACTACATCCCAAAATTCCTATGAATTAAAACTGCAGATTATTCAACTCAAAAGGTGAAAAAAAAAGATTCTTAATTATTGTCAATTTTTCAAAATACAAATATATTGCTTTTATCTCTGGCCAAAAGCCTTTAAACTTTAAATTAATGATAATGAAGCAACAGCTGATCCAAGCCCTCTATAGCCGTCGAATCAATAGCACATGTTCAACACCTGTCACTATAAATCTCGAAGGAGTGTCACATGTCACAGAAGCAGCAGGCAAATGCTGCAATTATGCGACCTGAAGTATCTTTTTACCCCATTTTTGGGGGTTTAACTAATGTAATACGACCTATTCTCATTTTAGGACAATATTTTGAGTTACTCTGGTTTAACAAATTGTCTGAAAAGCCACAGCTGTCATTAGGCTTCTCCTAGAGCCATGCTTGCAGACATGTGCTCTTAGCTTCTGTATGCAACCCAGTGATGTTGCTTATATTTTTTGCCTTTAATTCTTAATCTGAGGAAAATGTTGTAAAAATGAGAAAATGCAAATAAAAAAAATAAATATTTGCCATTAACGCCATTCAAATGATTCTACATTCTGATCGAATTTTAACATATTTTTAAAGCATTTGAAATTAAATTAAACAAATTAAAATTCTAAAAATTAAAAAAACAGTACAAATTTAGCATATTGAATTACCTTGATGATTGTCTTCTGTGATAAAACGTCTGTGCAAATATTCTCCTGGCGTATGGAGATCTGAGTTTGCTTTGAGTTTGTTGAGCTGTGCTCTCTGCCGTTGACTTCTCGTCGCTGCTTTCGCTTTATCTACTGAGCATCGGGCCTTCTTCACTCTTTATATACTTGTGAGCAAAGTTTCTCGAACCCCCGATTGAGAAAGTTCCAGAAGGAATGTCCACTAGAGTAAGGAGGAGTGATAGAGAGCTAAAGTAAGACCGGCGGGCTGTGTGTGCGAGACCAGGCGAGGCGAGTCCACTAGCATATACCCCTTTCATCCTTTTTGGGGCAGGGAGTCACAAGAGGTGTCTGTCAATCAATGTTCTGCGTGTCACTTCCTGCAAGCGAAATCTGCAATGCTCATTGGCTGTCTCTGTGAAACATTGAGCTTTGAGGTGCCAGAATTCACAATAAAGACACAAACCACCTGAGAGATAAAGCTTCCCATCCTGCTGCATTCCAGTGGAAATTATGCTCTGAATGATGCACGTCTTCCTTAAACTGCTGTTGTGTTGAAAATACGGGTAACCCGCTTGTGTTACCCCAATGGTTTCCATGCAACTTGCCAAAAAATAACCTTAATCCAAAAATGAAAGTGGTTCCAAACCTGTATGAGTTTCTTTCCTCTGTTGAACACAAAATAATGTATTCTGAGGAATGTTGGTACACACACTCTAAAAAATGCTGGGTTGTTTCAACCCAACTTTGGGTCAAATGTGACCCTGGACCAGTCACTGGGGTATATTTGTAGCAATAGCCAAAAATACATTGTATGGGTCAAAATTATTGATTTTTCTTTCTTTTTATGCCAAAAATCATTAGGATATTAAGTAAAGATCATGTTCCATGAATATATTTTGTAAATTTCCTACTGTAAATATATCAAAACTTAATTTTTGATTAGTAATATGCATTGCTAAGAACTTAATTTGAACAACTTTAAAGATGATTTTCACAATATTTAGATTTTTTTGCACCCTCAGATTCCAGATTTTCAAATAGTTGTATCTCGGCCAAATATTGTCCGATCCTAACAAACCATACATCAATGGAAAGCTTATTTATTCAGCTTTCAGCTGATGTATAACTCTCAATTTCGAAAAATTTACCCTTATGACTGGTTTTGTGGTCCAGGGTCACAAATATGGACTAACCCAACCGTTGGGTAAAATGGTTGCATTAAATTTTTAACCCAAAAGTTGGGTTAGTACAAATCTGACCCAAAGTTGGGTTGAAATAACCCAGCATTTTTTAGTGTGTAACCAAACAGTTGCTCGTAGCCATTGACTTGTATGGAAAAAATACTATGGAATTCAATGGCTGCCAGCAACTGTTTGGTTACTAACATTCTTCAAAATGATAAAATACAAAATAAGAAAAAATATGAACACTGTTAAAAAAAAAGTTCCTCCCTGTTATGTGTCAGTTTGACCTGTTATGTTCAAAATTAGCTTCACTCTAAAAAATGTTGGGGGCGGGGGGCATTTTGGTAGTTATGATCAGGACTGATGTTCATTAAAAATGTACACTCTAAAAAATGCTGGGTTAAATATAACCCAGCGATGTGTTAAAAAGAGACAAACCCAGCTATTGGGTTGTTTTGACCCAGCGGTTGGGT